ACAGTAACAAGCATGTGCGCGTCGATATAATTGAAAGCAACTAATGTTCACTTGGCATATAATATAATAGGTATAAAAATTAAAAACCGTACATGCACACACGAAGCTGAGTAATGGAAATAATAAAAAGGCACATAAGGACCAGCTCGTCGATGTACTGTCATTGCCGAAATATTTCTCCCGTTCGTTCGTTGGAATTTTCTCGCGCTCTCCGTTAATATAAAAAAAAGAAGATTTTAAGAAAGACGAATAATATAATCTGTGCGAGCGAATTGCCCATAAAACAGAGAGGATTCGCCTAAAACGAGCTAATCGACTAGTTTGTCGTGTGTATATCGCGCGTTCGAAAATATATACACAAACGAAATGGTCGAGGCTGTACATATATAGTTTTAAAAACACGTGCGTCAATTGGCCCCCGTGCGAAATGGCAATATACCATATATAATATTATAAATCAAAAGGTCTTTAATACGTTTTAACGAGAAATCGGGTTTTGCGTCACACCGAGGCGCGAGCTGTCTGCAACCGGTGACGGTGGAGCTGCATGAGACTGCAATTCGCATGTGTATGTATGTATTACGCGTCGCACTTTGCTGAATCATCGCCAAAAATCCATAAATCGCGTATCCCTTCTCGAAGAATCTCTCTCTTCATTGCATTTATCTTGAGTCGCGTGAAAAAAACCACCTGCGTCAATTGTTTCGGTCGCTCGTGCGGCAGGTCCATAATATACACATGCCTCTTTTTCTTCTTCTTTTTCTTCGAGCTCGTCAAGAGAGCAGAATCGGTATTACGAAATATCCACGCGCGCGGTATAATCCCTTCTTTCTCTCTCTCTCTCTCGCTCTCCCTGCGCGTTTCTTTCTTGTGATAGAAGACCCTGTGGTGGCACAGCAGCAGCAGCAGCAGCGCACGAAGGCTCGTTTGGCGAATATATATTTTCAAGGTTACAACTTTGTAATAATCCGCCATGCGCTACCGCCACTAGTGTATGGGAATTAACACCCGAAGGCTATACGAATTTCACGTTTCGCAAAGAAAAAAGCGCGGCGCACAACCCTGCAACGCGGCTGCGGGTTTCGCAAGCTATGCTCTCTCTCTCTCTCTCTCTCGAGCGCGCATACATTTTATTGGTACAATTACCGGTACGGACACCGCGCATACACACATGCACACGATGCAGTAAACACAAAGGCCTCTATATAGTACACCGAGGCAGATAATTAGCCGCGTGCGAAGTTTTTTAATCGAGGAAAGCGATCGTCGCGTTCGATTCTTACTGGGTCCCGCGCAGGAGTACGAGCTTTATGATAAATAATATTATAACATACGTGTTTTATCGAGGAAAAAAATAATGAGATCTCGGTGACTTTAACGACGTACACGAGAAGAGCATCGATCGCAGGCATCGTGTTGTACGTTATTATAATAAAAATTGCAGAAGAGATTTTTTGATAAATTGCACGATTATTTGTCAGCTTTTACGACCGTTTAGCATAATATGTAAACGATATTCCCTCGATCTTGGAAGAAAAGAGAGAAAAAAAATTAGCAGCAGCAACGGGAGATAAAGCCGAGCGTCCGAGCTGTTTATAATAAACATTATTATATACAAAAGAATGTCGCGCGCGCGCTACGACGACGAGATGCTGGAATGGACATACATACGTACTCGTATGCACGCATATGTATGCGCGGTTGTAAGCACCAAGAATGTCCATATAATGCAACTCGAGCCTCCTATATCTTTCAAAAGCCAAGGTTGGTCCCCGCGCGTTTAGCCATTAGTAGTATTAGGTACACTATATTAACTGGACATATCGTGCGTGTATGTGTGTGTGTGGCTCTCTCGCATAAAGCGAAGGTGAATCTTCGCGGCGGCAACCAGCAGAGCGGCAGTTCTACGTTTTGTAATAATCATTATGAAACTTTTAGAAGTAGATAGATGTGTGTGCGTGTGCGTATACACTTGTGCACTAACTAGTCGCAAATGTTGCAACGAACTTGTTTCTCTCGTACATATATATGATGCAGCATATATCTCCTCTTCTTCTTTTTTTATGCATAGTCCTCTTATCGTTTGGAGAGAGGCTTGATCGTTTTCGGGATGACCATCGAGAACGGCCTTCAGGGTCGCGAGATCCGTCCGAAATTCGTCATGCGCGTGAAAGCTCCGCAGCGCATATCATCGACAATGACACGAAGATAATAACTCCGCGCTCGCTGGGAGCAAATGATAAAGACGACTGCTCTCGCTCGCGCGGATATACTTTTGTGAATGTATAATTAAAAAATCGTAAAAGGATAAAAGATATATAAATCACTCGACGACGACGCGGCGGCGACGGCGGCAGCGGGTACATTATATGGACGTTTCGCAGGCAAAAGTTGCATCAACAGGAAGATCCTTGGGACGGCAGCGGCAGCAGCACACATTTCTTGTGTCAAAACGCACCGAATTCTCGACGACGACGACGAGCTAATACGGCAGTCAAGGTGAGATCGAACGAACGCAAAAAAAAAGTAATGCATCTATTTTCGCTTGACTCCGACGACGACGACTATACTATTTATACATACGAATGGAAAACAGCATAACTTTTATCACCTCTCTCATTCATATGAAAATTTTTCCTTGCTAAATGCTCACTTGCACACGCATCGTTTTCACTTAACGAACGCACACCGGAAACTCGTAAATTCGGGACGATGTTCGCGAGCGGCGCGCGTGCGCAACATTTTTAGATTATCATAACGCACACGCTATGTAAGCTCGTGTGTGGTGGAGATTTCAATGCTCGAAATTCGCCGCCGCCGCCGCCGCTGCTGCTGTTATGGCTGTGTTGCTGGTCGAGGCTATAGAAAATTTTGAAATGGCATAATCATACACTTTCGGTACCTTCGATTTCGTTCGAATTACAGTGCGTGGTGATAACTAAATGTATATACTTTAATTCTCCTTTCGATAATTAGCCACGTTAATCGCGTATTAAGCTTAAAAGACTGCAAAAATTGCACAACTTCCCGTGGGGAGGCTTATCATCCGTGTATTTACAATATTTAAAACGCTTCGCGATTTGAGCATACATGCGAATGTATTAGTAAAGAGTTGGAAAAATTAGTCACGATGATTTTCCCTTTTTTTTCTCTCTCTCAATGCGCTTCACGGAAGAAGAAATCATCTCGCGGTTGAAATCATCCCAAGGCAAACAGAAGAGTCGAAACAAAAGACGGTGATAGAGAGAGAGAGAAAACCATATTGGCAATAATACGGAAAAGTCCCCCGGACACGTCAAAGCAAAGAGATGCTCTCGATGGACGTGTATATAACATACGTACGTACATACGCGAACGAGTGACGTTAATCTTCGGAGCTCTTCTGTGTTTGCATTGGAAGACGTGTTATATATACACGAGTATTTTATCACCTATGCGTAGCGCGCGCGCCAAGAGCTGCTGCTGCCGCTGACTCCGTGGAGATCGATAACCCTTACCCAAGTAGAGATTCTCAATATATTTTATGGCTAATTTTTGGCTAACGTAAATAATTCCGATGATGTTTGGATTTTTCCAATGTTATTATTTTCAAGAGTGCTTTGACTTATAAAATTACTTTTACTCTGTCACTTGCAGATTTACAGAATTAAAGTTACTCGACATCTAGTGATGGACGATGGTCAGGTGAAAAAATATAAAAATCTTTTTGGTGCATGCTATGACTTATACAATTATATCCATTGCAACGCTTGCAGATTCACAGACAAAGTTACGTCGCCATCTAGTGGTGACTGTACGATTAAAGTGGTAATCATATTGTATTTGAAGTAGTTGAAAACTAGTTTATACTTTTTGGAAACAATTAAACTGTTATTTTCAAAACATTTAAAATGCACTTGATTTTTGCAACATAATTGTGTCAAATTAAATACATAAAAACAAGAGAATGAATGATAAAGTATTTATTGGTCATCAGGAAATTATCAAAGTTTACCATTTCCACCCCGATATGGACCCACGTCGTGTGCAGTCAAGAAAAACGAAAATTCAGATCTCCTCGATGCGAGTACACGTATACTCGAATCCATATAATTCGATAAAGGATTGCAATTTTCATGGCGAACCCAAAAAAAAAAAGAAAAAAGAGAAAAAAACCTGAAAAATGTTACCCAGTCATCGTGGCCGCGCACGGAAAGGCTACATTATACATAATAAGCGCTACACATATAACGAGTACAGCGCGCTCAGTGAAAATATTGGAAAATCCATAGCGCGCGGCGTCACTTGCTCGAGAGACGTTACAATATAGCTATACACACGTTGGCGCAGATAACCCGCGAAGGCTAAAACGGCGCTTTATAATACGAAAAAAAAAACTTAATGTTTATCTTGCATTATCATACACTCAATTAGGCATTCTCGCGAGCTGTGCTACACGCTATATATATAACATGCCGCGCGTGCGAAGCGATATTCGATCGCGTACACAATTGTCGCGCGTTACAGTGTTGCACGCACGAGGAATTAAGATTATTTAGAAAAATGTTTGATTTACGATGACGTCGATATTTGCATCCAAGCTGTTCTCACTCTCTCGAGCGTGACCGAAAATAAAAAAATGAGAAGAATAAGTGCCTCTCGATGCGCGTTGCGTTAGAGCTGTGTGTTAGACGAAAATTTAAATTTAAACATTCGGTAAACGATCGCGCGCGCGTGCGCAGGTTCAATAGACCGTGCGCGGTGCGGTATTATAAGCGAGGCACGCGACGATAAATTCCAAAGTGAAAACTCGTGCCTTATATAGTTTTGGCATTTTTAAATATATTAAAATGAGTTCCTCGAGCATTGTTCTGCCGGCGCGCGCAATGTTTATTTTCACTTTCTATAATATGCGCATGTTTTAGTGTAAGGGGAATTTCACGATACAAACGATAAAAACGCCTGTTCCTTATAGAATTTAATTTATTTATTAATATACGAATTTCGTATAAAGTACTCACTGTGTTTGAATTTTCCACGCTGCGACACGAGCAGATTCAGGGGCTTGGGTATCTTCTCCACCGGTATCCTCTCGTCTGGCTTCGGCCTCGGGCCGAACAGGGCGTTCTTGCCCACCTTCATGTACTGCCTGCCGATCCTCGTGGGCGAGCTGTCGCCGAACAGACCCGCTAGGAACTTCATCTTCGTTTTGTTTTTTGTTTTGTTTTTTTCAATGGACCAAAATCCGAATGAAAAGAGTACGAGTATCGACCGTGGAAGGTGGTTTAGCCGCACCCTCCCACCCTTTTGTCGTTTTCTTTCAAAAAAAAATTAACGCCGTGCGTGAGACAGTTCACTAATCAACGTCAAAGAGTTTTCAGTGCGTAGAACAGCGGTACGCTCATCGGTTATGGGATACTTTTATTATATGGATGCAAAGCCCGCTTTGCCTGTAATGTTCTTCTTGTAATTGCTATAACTACGAGATTCCTTATAAAGAGAGATTAACTATCAAACTTCTTACTTAATAGGAAGATCAGAGTAATGCCCCTTTTTTTCTATTATTCGATATTTTTTTTTTTTTGTACTAAACGAGACGCGTGAATCGTATGCACTTGTCACGTGACTTCACCCAACATCGTTTCACTTCAGGCACGTTGAATTTCTTCTGCTTTCTTTTTTCGTTTGCTTTGGTTCTAATGGGTCAATCTGAATTTTCGCTCATAACTGCGCGATGATTTAACACACGCACTCACACCACCGCACTGACTGCTAACAACTTGTTGCTGTTGTTGTTGCCCCGATGTCGTCGATTACAATCCAGGAAACGGCGGGCGACCAGTTGTAATTGCAGCGCAGCGGCAGAGCCTGGGATAAACCTGCAACAACGAAAAAGAGTCGACGCTTGTAATATAGCTGGCACTGCAACGATCTATCTCTCGCTTTGTGGAGCGAGCATGAATTATTCATCGTATTCGGAAAATTGCGTACGCTATCACGTGTGTGTACTCCATAGGCAGAATAGAGCGAGGGAGATAGAAAAAATTTATTTGAAATTCGCGCGAGCACCACGCGTGATTCGGCTAAACGTGATGCGTATTACATGTGCGTGCGGTGACGTTAAATACGTAGGATAATTGAGACCAAGTCAATAAATTAGCTTTTTTTGTACATCTAATTCCTTTTTTATTTTGTTTTTTTATTAGGTTAATCGCGTCGAAAAAAAGTTTTAGAACGCACTTTTTCCTGCAAATCGCTGCGCGAACGCATCGATTACGCTTGCTAGTTATCGAAAAAATGCCAATGAACTTTATTAAGCGATCGTTGTACGGTTTAAATGAATTACTTGCAACGGCTTTGTGCGATAACCTCGCGAGGAGGATTTTCTTTTTTAATAACTCAGTTTTTTCTCTTTTTTCTATTTCGTTCATTTGTTGTTTGCAATAAGAGGAAAACGAATTTATTTGTAACAATTACTCCAGCGCTATACATTGAAACGATCTTCGGGTAAACTCATTCGTTTCGCGGGGGCAAAAAAAATTAATTACAACATCGGCATGTACGGATTTTTTATCCTTTTCTCCCTCTCTTCGAAATCATATATTTTATTATAGTGCGTGTCGCGGACGTTTTTCGAATATGTATATAAATCTGGTATTCATAATGAAGTATATACGCTCGGGTAGTTAACGTGGATCATAATGACGCGGAGCACCAATAAAAACGTAAAATCTCGAATTCATTAAATGTTTCTCTGTCTCTCGTGCGCCTCGAGAGTTATGCAAAGACATATTTCGGACTTCTGCTGCGAGGTGTTATACCTGATAATTTGTTCAATTCCCGCGGCGGCAAAAAATGTAGATCAAACGGTAATTTTCCTCAATATTTCAACACATTGTACAATTTTTCGCATATCGAGATCGTGAAAAATTTTCTCAATTTCAGCTGCCGCTGCAAAGGTTAAAGTCATTACTGACACAAGCGGAACCCAGTCATGAGTTATCAGCTGAGAGAACCCGAACTTCGAATTAATAATCATCGTCGTTCGTCGTCGTGTACATCAAGTGCTACATAATGTACGTTTCGCGTATTTAGCCGCAAAATGACCGTCTTGGACACAAAAGGCCTGCACATGTATGTGTGCCCGTAGAGTACAGAGATTGCGTAAAACGCGAATGTTTACTCGCGATTAGCTTCAGCGAATTCGTCTGTGTCGTCGTCGTCGTAGACATAATAGGTGAATATATACTCGAGCAGCAGCACACACATGATATTTCATTTTCTCGCTTCGACTCGAAAATTCTATGTCTCTCGGGTATATAAGTCGTTGTCGTCGTGAATCGTTTTTTTTTCTTCGTTCTTCGCCATCGTAACGAGCGACAAAAATGCCACATTTTACACTCTCGCTAACGAGCCTCAGCGCGCCGTGAGCGGCAACTCCTCGACTCGCTGAAAGAGAGACATTATGATTTAACTATTATATAATTTTATGCGAAATACCGCAGCATCATCATCGACCTTCTCTCGCGTCCTCCCCCCTTTCCTCTCGTTCCTCCCCCCGAAAAAACAACAACGGCAACAAGCAGCATCTCTCGAAAAAGCCCCGCGTGCGCGTGTATTATATCGGCTCGCGATACTTTCTATAATCTCGCGTCGTCGCAGCAGCAGCAAGTGTTCGCGCGCGTGTGGAGCCGCGCGTCTTTGACGATGACACGCTCAGCCCGGAGGAGAATTCGCGGTATTGTCAAAAAAAAATCGCCAGCAAAAAGAAGTCGGAAAAATGCCGAGATTCGCAATCTCTGCCGCGCCACACCTGCACGAGAGGCGCACAAAACGCGGTATATATTTTCATATATCGGCGCGTATATAGCCAAAAGATCTGTATCTCTCTCTCTCTCTCTAGTTGGTGATGTTGCTTAACGTTTATTATGTGCGCGCACGAAAATTAAAATCCCCGCACGCGCGCATTCTTGGATAATTTTGCATGCGGGTCGTCGCTATATAATATTTGATGATATATTGTTCGACAACGACAGATTTTACTATCCGCGACACCAATCGATCGATTGATCCATTGCGTAATCGTTGGATTTTTACAATTGTTTATACATTGAAGATACAGCCGCGCACGCAAGGTACAGCCTTGCACTATGCCCTGTTATAGTTCTCTTACGTACACAAAAAAAAATACCCATACAAGTTGCCCAATGTATTTATTCGTTAGAGGCGAACACTCTCGTTTCGACATTGGATGATTGATTTACCCCGCAATTCGATCGCTTGTATACATATACTGCTCGAGTGTGTATGTGTGCGTCTATTGCGCCGATGATGTCACATTGGCCTTTTTGCCGATTCCTCCACGTGCATTCGGATAAAAGTTTTAAGCTACATGCGGTGGTTTATAGGTAAGAGGCTTTCGAGCCGCGCGCGGCATTTTTTCGCGATTTGGAGGTGAGCGAGAATTTAGCCGAGCGCGCGCGAGAATTAGATCAAGTTTAACGAGTGTGGCTAGGCTGCAGCAGGCATGTGTACGCCGAACCACAACAACGACACCATACTGTCAGCAGCAACAACAACAACAACAACAACGACATTAGGCGCGGTAAAAATTTTTAATCCACGTGTGCCCTCCACGCATCATAGAAGCTCGTAATATATATTTTTATAGCTCCGCGACGACGGACTTTGCAGCTCCTTTTGAATGAAAATGACGCGTGTAATGTTTTTTTTTTTTTGTACATTTTGACGCGAGCGTATCAAAACACAATGCGGTGCTATGGCGCTGCTCCGATGGATAAATAGATATGCGAGTTCGCGCGTTTTGCATTTTAAAATGCGCTCCGCGCGCGTGACGATCATCGCCTCCGCGAATGCGCACACGCGTTCGTTCTATTTTTGTCTCGGCCACATACTTTAAAGGTGAAGAAGACGACGATGATGAGGAATAAAAAATGAAAAAATGTGCAGCGGAAGTCGAGCACGCGCGCATCTCGATGACCGACGTAAATAACACATATACGAAACCTTTACCTTTGGCCATAAGGAAAAATCGGAATGTCCCCGTGCGCGTGTGCACTTGGGATCGTGTTACGTAAATAAGAAAAAAAAGAAGTAATGATAAAATTAATTTGTCACCTATAATACCGTGCGATTATAACCATCCTCCCCCCAGCGCAGCGGTAGGCAAATACGCACACGCGATCGTATGCGCGTTTATACGCGTGTATCGCATCGAAGCAATCGCTTTAACGGATAGCTAAAGTATATATCTATCTAAATGCGCGGCATTAGTTGTCGTAGTTGTAGTTGTAGTAGCAGCGGTGGTGGTATAAGGCCTTTGTGGAATTTTCATCTCACAATTTCATTACACAATTTTGCACCTTGCCGCCGAGACAGAGTAAAAGAGAGAGAGAGAGAGAGAGAGAGAGAGAGATGTCGAGAGTCGATGGTATTGTGCAATAACTGCAGCTCTACTCAAGAGTAAGCACACACACACACACACATACACGTAAACGCATGCACTTGCCGTGCACGCGCGCACACACGAGTACAGAAAGAAAAACGTCTTTCCCTTATCGCGACTTATGCTTTTCTACCATATAGCATTGAAAAATTCGTCTATACGCGCATACGCACACGCATGTACGTACGCGAGGATTTTCTCAATGGTGCAATTGAAGCTAAAGAGAGATAGAGAGATTGGCGTAGATCGAAGCGCAGCTTATGGATGTATTATACGGCGAGTGCGCGAGTATATAAAGATGTATTGATTTAATGCAAAATATATATAAAGTGTCGACTGGAATTTTTTGCGCTCGATCGCGGCAAAAGTACGCGTACGAGCGAGGAATTTGTGAAATATGTGCGTTTGATCAGTACGCGCATAAGTTTAACCGCGATGAATGCAGATGAGCGATGATCGACTGCGAATGTGCCTTAACGAGAAATCGAGTTGATTTTTCATTCATAGTGAATTTGATTGTTTCACATCGTATCGATAAAAAAAAAGCAGGAGAAGACAAATCAGAAGCATCGTCTTGAAATCATTGACGTTTATTTCAAGCAACAATAAGAAATTCAAAAATTTCGACAAACGATTACTATGCGGGTGCGCGATTGCCATTCGAATTTCCGCGTGTCGTAAATAAGAAAAAAAAAAACAAAAAGGAAAAAGACGAGGTGGACAACGACTACTTCGCTGCGAACGATGTGCTATACGAGCTCTGGACGCGGCGCGCAGGCAATCGCGAATCCCAGTGATCAAGCGGTGCACCGTAGCGAATCGCTTGCTATATTATACGTCACACGCGCTCGGCTCTCTGGCCCAAAGACATTTATTATTTACGCGCGTTGCGTCGCAGATACACGTATAGCAAACTGGCTAAACGCTACGGTGTGTCCCGATAAGCGAGAGAATCGTTTTCGATGTGAAACTTCTTGAGAATTAATATTTCGAGATTCGATCGACAGATGGCGCATTGTAAACTCGCTAGTAGGAAAGACATTTTCAATTAATATAGGATTATTAATATATTGCTTCTGCTTGCTGATCCGTACTTCAGTGTTTACCTACTTTATTTCCTCAATTGAACCCATTATCATAGAAATAAGTTTCGTGTTTCTTCTGATTTCTACGAAGGGGTGAAATCTTATGATCAAAGAAAAAAAAATTGCACAAAAATAATTTTTCGATACTGCCGATCGATTACAATTACTTGACCAGCACATTATACGACGCGTCATTGATAGAAGCAAAACATTGACTCCTTTTGTTTTCTCAGCTACAGCCAACGAACCCGAGGTCGAAACACACTTAAAAATGAAAAATTTCACTTTCATTATTCGAGTGAAAAATACGTTGGATATTAGAACGGGT